TGTTGCCAGTTCAGAGAGTCCAGGTGGTTGAGTATCAGATTGTTCCATCTGGTTTCCCTTTGGGGTTGCTGTAGGTGATCCAAAAGTCTGTTTTTGAGACTTGTTTATGTGTCTTCTCATTTCCATGGGGCGGGGGGGAGTGGTGCTTCTGGCACCCACGCGTGGCTCACCTTCTCTGCCCTAGGAGCTTGGAATGGCAGCGGGGGAGCTTCCTTCAGGATTCTGGGACCGGCTCACCTTCTCTGCCCTAGGAGCTTGGGATGGCAGTGGAGAAGGTTCCTTCCAGGTGCTGGGACCAGCTCAGCTTCTCTGCCCTAGGAGCTTGGGATGGCGGCCGGGGACCTTCCTTCCGGGTTCTAGGACCAGCTCAGCTTCTCTGCCCTATGAACTTGGGATGGCAGTGGGGGAGCTTCCTTCCGGGTTCTGGGACCAGCTCAGCTTCTCTGCCCTAGGAGCTTGGGATGGCAGCAGGGGAACTTCCTTCCGGGTGCTGGGACCGGCTCAGCTTCCAAAGTATGAATTCCTTAAGGGCAGGAAAATATTTTAGTCACTTTTATATTTCTAGTACCTAGCACATGTGCAAACATTCAGTACATGCTATAGAAATGCAAAGGCAGTGTCCCTGAAGGAAGGTTGATTCTATAAAAGGTGTGAAAATATTGTGAATATAACAAGGTAAAGAAAATAATATAAAACATCTCCTTTCACCAGAGTTACTAAAAGCAGTTAGAAGAATTCTTTAACAGCTTAGAGCAGGGAAGGACATATTTGAGGTTCATAAATGGTCAAAATGTGCCTTTTAAGAAAATCTGGCCTGTTCAGTTGTAGGGCCTTTGTTTCGTTGACTGGAATATAAAGCCGAAAGAGCCTACCAGCCCTGTCTCCACACTCCCTCCAGGCCTGCCGTGCTCAACTTCTCATCCAAATGCCTGTTCAGCAAATATAAGAAGAATTTTCATGAAGGTGTGCTAAGCGATCAGCTTGCTTAGGGCCCTGATATCTTGATCTGGTCCTGCCTCAAGGATAGAGAACCTGTCACCAGTTTAAGTCTAGATTGCTCAAATAATTTTGAAGAAAACCCACACTCGTTTTTCCTAGATTACTAAAAACATTCAAAAGGAACTCAAAGTTGACATCTTTTTGTGTTGTAATAGGGCATTCATGGGGTATGTACTGCTTCCTCCTGTTGCCAATGGGATTATAGCAGAGACTAGAATGTTCCAACTGTAAACAAATGAACTTCCTCTTATTGTTCTAGTACTTTTTCATATTAATAATGAAATAATGGGAAAGTAGTTTCTAATTTAATCAGGAAGGAAGGAAATGACATTGAATTATTTTTTACTTCTTAAAACGTTCTTCCAGTCAGTCAAAAGAAAAGATGCTGTTATTTTATTTTTATGATTAAAAGAAAGTCTTTATTAACAAAGGCCATTTTAATTCTTATAAGTTCATTATAATATTAAATAGGATAAGATGCTTAATAGCTGTAATTCAACACTTTATTCCAGTTTAGTCCTTTTCAGTGAACTCGCTGTGAACTTGTTTATATTTTAATATATAGAGGCCATGAATCATCAGGTATTTAGACAGATATAGCTAACTACTTTGGCAAATGAAAATTTATAGATGTTTTACCATCAGATCAGAGTAAAAGAATCAAATGAAGGGTATGATAAAAGTCAATTTAGAAATTTATTATTAGGCATTACACCTTTTTTACAACAAGTAAAATTTACAGGAATTATACAAGTCACTTTTTATCAAATACTAATATGTATTTAGCAATTTTTTAAAATCTGAAATAGTATTTCAGTTGTAAAAACTATCTCTGATTACAAAAATATATATATCAGAAACCTTATTGGAGTATAACATAATTTACAAATGTCCTAAGAATTCATAAGCCACACAATATTTTAAGTTGAAAAACACTAATTTTAAAAGTTTGATACTGTTTCTGTTGTTTATGTATATGTATTAATTGGTCTCTTTATAGGACATCCAACTAAAAGTTGATCATATTAAGCACTGTAAAATAAAGGCAAAAGCTAGTCACCTTTTAACAAAAATTGTATGCAACACTTTCAAGTATAAACAAAATATATTTACTGGATTGTTCTTCACTTATAGCCACCCTGTTAAGAATACTATTATTTAATAGCAACACAATCAGCTAGGGCAATTTGAGTCATATCCCTGGGAAAAATCCTACCTTCAGTTGTTTCTCTAGGTTCAAAAATGAAGTTAATGTGAATCTTCTTAAATTTAGAGATCAGAACCTCATTCTATGCTAAAAGAATTTTTTTATCCAAAGCTGAGACTTTTTCTATTCTTTCCAACCTAAAAATAAGCCTGAAACAAAACACGGTTTCTGTTATTTAATATACCCTGAGGATAAATATGTATACCTTTTTGAGATTTTTTTTTTTAGAAGAAATGGTATTGAACTCAGAGATTGCTTCTAGTTCTGAAATTCCATGTTCTCATTTAATATGCTATCGTTCAAGGAAAAAAATATAGACAAATGAACAAAAAGTGCAATGTGAAAGACCCAGTTAAACATTATTTTCTTTTTTTTTTTTTCGGTACCAGGGATTGAACTCAGGACTTGCACTTATGAGCTACATCACCAGCCCCCATAAACATTATTTTCTTTATCCAAAATCATTTTCCAATTCTAAAATATTCCATTAATGAAACCTGCTAGCGAACAGAATAGGACTCAGAAGACTGTAGAATCTCACGTCTGAGGCTTGCCAGGGCTCCACCTCAAGAGTGGCTGGTTTCCACATTCACACTGTGCACGGCACTTCTGTAGGCCTAGGTGTTGTTGGTATCACCAATCCTGTGAAATATTGGATTCAGGAGTTCAGTTGTCCACAGCCATTTGCTGCAAAATGGCTAGAAATTAATTAAACATCTTTCAGGTCCTGTGTGGTAATGTGAATGACTTCACCTCTTTAGCAAGTTGAATTGGAAATGGGCAATAAATAGAAGACATTGCCTTTGTGAATGGATTTTGAATTACAAAAACTTGTTTTGGAAATAGGCTTGTGTGCTTCTAAATAGCAAGAAAACTGGTATCACTAGCAAGGCACGAGACTAAATTTAATGCAGTTGCCTTCTTTCTGTGTCAGTGTTAAATATCAGGGATATCTTCAGAGGGAATGGTCATTTCGGTTAAAAAAGATAATGTGGAAAGGAGTCTGCATAATTCCTCATGCACTGTGTTCACATTCCTTGAACTAGATGATTTTGCCCTCATCTTAATGCTGTCTTTATGGAATGAAGGAATTTTCAAATTGGTTTTTAAACTCTATTAAACCCTCATGTATGATATAGCCAACCACATTATTCAGGCTTTCTTGGCTTTAAGGAACAGCTTTGCAGCCATTATGTCATAATTGAGCTGAACATTGTTGCACAATCTGAATTCAGAATATCCTGCTCTGGCTCTAGGCCAGTTGCTGAGTCAGTATCTTTGGGGTTGAGCATGGAGGGGGAAGGCTGCAGTGTGTGCAGACCCATTGTATTAATAAGAATTCCCCTTTGGACTCCTTGGTTCTAGAGGAAGAGCACTGTGAAAGTAGATTGCTGTTCTTGATTAGCTTCATTATTTTTTTTTCTCAGCTAATTTTTTCCTGGAAACCTTCCCCTGACATTGTCATGTGAACCAACCCCATTACTAAGTAGACTCTTCTGAAGCAATGATCTGGAAAGAGTGACTGCTAAGGTCTAAAGATTCTAAAACAAACTCATGTTTACACTGAAGATTACTTTTCCCTTCTGTTTCACATTTGTCAGCTTGCTACAGGCCAAGGCAAAAGCAGAGGCATTTCTATACATGAAAAAGAATGCCAAGGTGAAGAGGGTCTGTCATTAAAAATACTCTTTAAGATGTGTCTAATAGGGAGGGAGAAAATGCATTATTCTTCCTTTGGAAGGAAACTTTCCAACTCAGATGTTTACACTTGCAGATGAGGGCCCAGACCTTTTAGTTCACCTCCATTTCCCAACTCTATCCTTTCCACACCAGGCTTCCCAGTTGTGATTGAAGAGCAAGAGAAAAGAATTGGCAATGAGCAAGTGCCTTTGCATTCCTGCCTAGATCTGTAAGTAAATTATCATCCTCTTTAAAGAGCCAAGTGTTTTTAGGCTACTAATGGTCAAAATTACTTCCCATGCTTTGTTCAGGCCTTATGCAATTATAGGTCTTTCACATGGTACTTCAGCATGAGATTTCCTCTTCTCAAATCAGGATGTTGGAGGCCCAAGGCCTATGGGCACGGTTCTTCAGGGGTCTCTGGAAAATGACAAGGACTGGTGGTAGAATTTCCATATGACAACTGATGGAACTGAGACTCAAAGAGATGAGGACTTTCCAGGTGTCTCAGAACTAGTAAATGACAGTTGCCTTTTTCTTTGGGATTTATGTTCATGAAACCCTGGCCTAAAAAATACATTCAGGGAGTTCAAACATGCAGAATTCCAACGAAACCCTATATATAGAGTAATTTTAGTGTTCTAAATGAATAATTATGCCATTTGTGTTTAATTCCTCTGACTAATGAGTTCATAGGAGCTGTGTTCATTTAAATTATTTTGATCTCTCTTGATAATTTGTTTAGAATTGCTTGGAGCAAGTTTTGTCTTTAAAGAATATCAATGAAGTCCAGCTTTACCAATACCTAGGCAGCTTCTGTTTTGACACACATGGATTGTGATATCAAAGGTTAAATAGTAATGGTTTTAAATTTTTCCAACTTTGAAAAATAAAGCCAAGTACTGCAAAAAAGCAACTAAAAGAGAACTGGCCTTTGTTTGAAACCTATCAAGGGATTTCAGTTCCTCAAAAACTCAGTTTCAGTATACTGTTTTGGAATTTTGTGAGACCTGAGTGAACTAAGCTAGTAACTCATGCTAGGTGTTTGCTGGCCAGTCTTACCTATACTTAGCAATGAGGGCATTTGACAGTGATATAATGTCTTAGAAATTCCTATTTGAATAATGCTCACAATCTAAAATTTTCAACTCTTTGTTTGATATACTTTTCAGTTTTGCAGTTTCCCATTTCTGAGATTAAGTCTTCCATTTGAGAATAGTAAAAGTGCATTTACATAAATAGAATTTTTGTATTTAATTGTTATATTTATAACAATACCTTACTATTAGTGTTATTTAGTAATCTGTAGTTAAACTTTACTTTTCTATTCTGCCTAATGACTTGCACAAAGATTTTTACATTTATTATCCCTTTTAAATTAGTCAACTTTTCCCTTCACCTCCTGCAAACCATTGTCTCTACCCTACTCAAACATATCTCTTTTTAATTAAGATGTTAAATTAAGCAAAAACCAGTCAAGATAGTTCATTTTAGAAGTGGGCATTGGTTGGAAGAATTAATTCTCTTGATGCAACATCAGACACATCTCTTCTGGTTTGCATACATTATTTTGCTACCCCTATTCTAAGCAAGCTCTCACCATTCTTATTCAAGAAACTCTTTCTCCTATTGGCTTTTGTGATGACATGCTTTCTGGTTTTCCTCCTACCTCCCAAACTGTTCTTACTGTCTCCTTTACTGGTTCTTCTCTACCCACCTCTAAAGGTTGGATTGTCTTAGAGCTCTCCAGAGTTTTGTTTTGTTTTTTTCTATTTAGATAATCTCTAGTTCCATAGCTACAAATATAATCTAAATTGATGATGAAGACTCAGTATTTACCTCTAGCTCTGTCATCTCTCTTAAATACCAAACCTGTATATGTCACTGTCTGCTTGAGGTGCAGCATTTCCCTAACTGCTTTTGGTCCCACATATCCCTCACTATGTTCTAGCCTCAGTTTCCTCATTTTTAGTTAATGGCACAGTCATCTACTTAGAGACTCAACACCAAAATTTGACTATCCCTACTGCCATCTTTAACTCCTCAAGTCCAGTTCATTGGCAAGTTGGCTGTGTTTCCACTCAAGTAATTACCACCATCCTTTCTCACACAGACTACTGCAGTCATCCCCTGCCTGGGTTTCTGCTTCCACTCTTGTTCCCCAATAATCCAATTGACTCTTGCTCCCTAATAATCCATTCTTTGTGCAGTAGCTAGAGTAGTCTTTCATATGAAACCACGAAACTTTCCTCCTCCATATCTTGTTGTAGTTAAACTCCCTTAATAGCCAAGAAATCCTACATGATTTGAATCCTAATGGCCATTCTTTAGCCCCATCTCCTTCTTGTTTCCCCTCCTTCCCTTATGTTCTGTGCTTCAGCCACACTATGTTTCTGTTACTTTCAGTAAGCCAAATTTGTCCTCACCTTGGGGGCTTTGTGTTTACTGTTTCCTTTCCCTGAAATGCTCCTCATTCACATCTTTGCACATTCTCATCCTTTAGTCTCAATTCAAATGACACCTGATCAGAGAGTACTTTATTTAAAGAACCCCCCTTTGTACCATCACATGCTTTATTCCTTCCTCTACATTTATCTGATATAACCTGACATTAAAGAGTTCCTTCACTAGAATGTGGACCCTATGAGGTCAAGATACCATGCTTTCTTGTTTATCACTGCACCTCAGTACCTGATAGCATCTGATACGTGGAGAACATTAGATAATTGTTGAATGAATAAGTGAGCAACTCATCTTACACCCAGATTGTTGAATGGACCTCTAACTCCTTTCCACTTCCATACTCCTTTCTTGTGTAGTATCTTCTACATGCTGTTGGCAGGTTAATCTTCCAAAACACTGGTTTATCACACCACTTGTTCAAAACCCTTCAGTTGTTTACAAGACATACATCATCACTTGTTGCTTAACTACCATTAAAATTCCTCCACAGTTTCAGCCCAGTCCACCTTCCAAACTTATTTTCCAATCTTCTTCAAAAGAAATCTCTTGACTCCATTCAGGGTTTCTCCCATTGTATTAGTCATCTTTCTCCTTGCTGAGAAACAATACTGAACACTTACAACTTAAAGGAGGAGAGATTTAATCTGCTCATCAGTCCATGGTTGGCTGGCTCAAAGGCAGAGACATCATACCAGAAGGCTGTGGGGGAGCAAAGCTGCTTAGTTCATGGTGGCTGGGAAGCAGAGCAGGAAAAGATTGCCAAAGAGAAACAGGCCCAGGGACTATATATAGGACCCAAGGCCATATCTCCATGACCCACCCTGAGATACCCAGGAGTGTGCTGTATTTATCTGCTTGGCATTTTGTAATCCAATGAAATTAACATGTCAGGATCAATAGTTAACACCTATTAAACAACCATGACATTCCTACCTCAACACCTTTGTGTCTAATCCCAAATTTGGAATGTTTCCCTTTTGTCTATATATCCAAATTCTAGATGATTTAAGATACTTCTCTTTTGAAACCACCTCCAATCTCAGCCCACAGTACTTACAGCCCATGTTCTTATGGCATTTGAAGTTATCTTTTATATGTCCCTATTTTATGCCCCCTGTGTTTCTAATTTACCCATGTATGTATGCATGTCTTCTAGCCAGATTTTTTAGTTCTTCATGAGTGGGGATCATCTCTTACTCATTTTCAACCCTTTATTCCTTACTATGGGACAAATGAGTAAATGATATCATTAGTTTCCTAATCACTGTGAGGCCTGACATAACTTTTATTATTTTAGTTAAAAATTTAACATCCTTTTCTTGAATCCACTAAAATACATCTAGCATTTTTGTTGCATTTATCTAGTATATGAAGTTGGTGACTCCATATACTTTATAGTATTTGTAAGGAAAGAAATGAACTAACCACCAAGTAGGGTGACAACAAATTTAAAGGTTTAATTTTACTGAGAATTAGAAGGGGGTAAAATTGGTATGCATGTATTACATAGTAAATAAATAAATGGTATATACTTTTAGTGAAATTGTAATCTTACTAGATAGGTAAGGTCCACACTGAAAAATTTTCACAAAGTTCTTGCAAAATGAATGTGTGAATGCAAAAGGATGTAGCACCCATTAGTCCAAACAATGGAATAGAAACTTCAGGGTACTTGGAAATCCCACAGTAATGATAATTTGAAGGGAAATTAAAGAGTTTTTGTCTGTGAGCACTCATGTGACCAATCAGTCCTTTCTAGACGCTGATTCTGTACCAGCTTCTCTGGTCCCCTGTATGGAGAACTTGTTATGCATTGAATCTGTAAGCTGCAAAGAGGCAGTTTAACATAAAGAGTTGCTCTCTGCCTCCGAGGCCTGGGGCATAATATAGGCCTATTAATCATGATTTAATGTTTTGTGTGCAAGCAAATCATTGGTCCAGACTGAGTAGTCAGAACAGAGCTGAGCAGGATGCCATGTACAATGGCCACAGTAGATGGTTAGCTCAGGACCTTTGTTGCAAGAACTTGTCTGAGTTGGTGTCACCTCCTTATCAGTTCCCCCTGCTAGGTACCTGGACTGCTCGGGCTGAGGCATTAGAAAAGCTCCTGCTATCCCAGCCATGCCAGTAACTCCAGGCTGGGCCTTGTACTGCCCTATACCCTGTTCTTTACCCTCATTCCCAATCCTGCTTAGCCTCTTGGAATTGACACCTCAGAGTATCTTTTCAGTTTTCAGTTTTGGTATCATCCTTGTCTGGTGCCTTTTCTTGTCACTTATGGTTCCACAAGGGCCATTCTGTGTCTCTCCCTCCTGCCCTTGCACCCAAGACATCAGGCTAGGTTCCCACTTGTTCAAGAGGGAGAGAGTTTCAGACACACCTGTCTGATCAAAAGCACAGAGAAGCACTGTGAGGCATAATTTGTCCCTTCTGTATTTCCCTGAATTAGGTAGACACAGTGACCCAAAGGACTTACATAAACTTTCAGTAATCTAAAATAATGGGGTTCTTTTCCTAAAGGGTGTGTGTGTGTGTGTGTGTGTGTGTGTGTGTGTGTGTGTGTGTTTCTGTTTGTCCTGTTAAAAATAGAAATATCATACTTAGGTGGTAATGAATGTGAAATGGAGTATTTAACTTCTCACATGGCACAAATGACTAAACGGAAGTCTTGAGCTCTCTTTATGGAACACAGGTTCAGCAAGAGCTACAGTAATAGTGTTTGGTTAATGCCAGCTCAACATTAAATTTACATTATACTCTTGTGAA